ATTTATAGCTAATACAGTATATATATAATATAAACAATTTTATAATTTTGATTAATTTTGATTATTATTAATAATAATACTGTAATAATTATATTTATTATAATTAAAGTATAATAATTAAAATTATAATATTATATAAAAAATATTTATATTAAATTTATAGCTAATACAGTATAGATATATATATATATAATTTAATAAAATATATAATTTTATAATTTTGATTAATTTTAGCAATAATAATAATAATAATACTGTAATAATTTAGTTTTGAAAAGTTTATAATGATATATGTTTACTATAAGTAAATATATATTGTTTTTTAACTTATAATTAACTATAAAATCATTATTTAAAAAAAATAATAACCAAAAAATTTTATGTCTATTATAATTAATAATAATACTAATGATTTTTATGAGACATTAATAATAATATTGATTTTTATATTTTTTATTAGTAAACATATCATATAGAAACTTGAAACTAAATTATAATTAATGTTAGTTAAGTTAAAGTTTAGTTTAAAATTTTATTTAAAAAAAATTAGTAATTTATAATGATTTATAGTTTTTGTTATAATATAATATAAGTTTTTATTAGTATTTTTTAGTTTAATATTTATAAAAAATAAATAAAATAAAACAAACTTTAATTTAAATAATAATAATAGAGTTTTATATAACATTTTCAATATTACGATTTATATAATAAAACTAAAAATTATTTTTAAATAAATATTAACTTATTTTTTAACTGTAATTATTTAGTTAATAATAATTATTTTTATTTTATTTTTTTAGATATAAATAACTATATAATTTTTTATATACACAACACAAACACATATACAAACATACATACAATAACATATAAAACACATACATACAAAACATATACATATATAAAACATATACATATATAAAACACATACAAACACACATACAAACACACATACAAACATATATACAAACACACATACATACATACAAAACACACATACATACAAAACACATACATACAAAACATATACATATATAAAACACATACAAACACACATACAAACACATATACAAACATATATACAAACACACATACATACATACAAAACACATACATACAAAACACATACATACAAACACACATACAAGCACACATACAAAACACATATAAAACATATATAAACACACATACATATAAAACACATATACAAACACACATACAAACACATATACAAACACACATACAAACACACATACAAACACATATACAAACACATAGCAATGTACCTGTATTATTAATAAAAAAAACTATACATATTATTGACACATACTTGATGTATAAACATGGTAAATTTTAACTACATTTTAACTACTAATGCTATTAACCTATGTATATACATATGTACCATAAATAGTGCTTGCTTCAATAAGTCGAGGGCCAATGGCGCAACGGATAACGCGCCTGACTACGGATCAGGAGATTCCAGGTTCGAATCCTGGTTGGCTCGCTGGATTTTTTTGTTGATTATTATAATTTTTTGTTGATTGCATTTTTAGTTTTTATTGTTGTAATTACAACATTATATTTAATATTAATTAATAAATCAGTTATTTTTTATATTTATTTTTATATATAGAATATATACTTAAAAAAAACAAAATTTTATTAACTAATGGGTTAAACAACAAATAAAAAACAATATATTATAACTATATATTGATTTTTAAAAAAAAATAGTTTACTATTTTGAAAGTTTTTTTTATATAAAAAAAATATTATTAGATATGATATCTATTTTAGTTATTTATTTATTAATTATAATACAGTAATACAGTGACCGATAATAGATTTTAATAAAAATATTTTTATTTTTTTTAAATACCGATTAATAACAAAATTATTTATAATAAAATCAACAAAAAATAATTAAATCTATTTTATTTTAAGTATTAATAATTCATAAATTCTTTTAATAAATAAATATTTAGTTATTTTTTAGGAAAAAATATTACATTTTATTTGTTATATAACTAATTAGACTCAAAAATAAATTGTTGGCTAATTTTTTTTTATTTAATGTCTAACTTTATATATTATTTTTAAACATTTATTATAAAAAAAATATATTTAAACTAATTTTAATTTTTTAAAATATTAAGTGTAAAGTATTTTATTATCAATTTTTTTTGTTGTTTAAAAATCATAATACAATGTTTAGTGAGAAAGAGAGAGAGAGAGAGAGAGAGAGAGAGAGAGAGAGAGAGAGAGAGAGAGAGAGAGAGAGAGAGAGATAAAGATATCAATCATTTTATTATATTATTTGTGTGTGAATTGTATTTTATTTGTTCACATAAATAAAATACAACAACAAAACAAAAACAAAATAAATAAAATAAAAACATTGGTTTTCAATGTATTTAATAATAATAATAAAATTGGTTTTTATTTTCATTTAACAAACATTCAAACAAACAAATAAACAAAAAATCCGGAAGTTTTTAATTTTTATTAAAAGCGAGAAATAGAGAGAGAGAGAGAGAGAGATGTTTGAAATTATTTTTTATTTTTTTTAAATAATATATTTTTTTTGTTTTGAATAACTTTTCCGCTAATTTATTGCACTTATGTATTGAAAGAGAGAGAGAGAGGGAGTAAGAGAGAGAGAGAGAGAGAGAGAGAGAGAGAGAGAGAGAGAGAGAGAGAGAGAGAGAGTAATCCTATAACTTATAGATAATATTAGATAATAATAAAAGATATAATTAAATAATTTATTATAAATTTATTTATTTTTTTGCAAAAAATAAAAGATTACATAAAAGTACTGTAAGTTTTTTTGTTTAATATAATTATTTGATTAGCTTTGAGACAATTTTATTTAAAATTAAATAAAATATTAACAATAAATAATACTTACAACAAAAAATTTTTTTTAACTGTAAATAAAATAATAAATAATAAGAAACAAAATTATGTTTTATATAATTTTAACTTATTTTTATAAATTTAATTTAATAATTTATTTTAATCTTTTTTTAATTTTAATCACAATAAAATCAACAAAAAAATAAACATATAATATATTTATCATTTTAAATATATTACAAATTTTGAAAAAACTATAACATATTATACTATATATATATATTAATCCTATTATTATTTTTAAATATTATTAATTATTTAATTTTTTGTTGTAAAACTATTTATCAATTAATTATAATAATAATAATAACAAATGAATATTTGATATCAAAATTTTTTTTTGTTATTTGGATCATAAAAAAACTTTTTATATTTTTATATATAATAAAAATATTTATAACATTTAGTAGTAGTAGTATTTGAGACACACTTTCACTGTTAGTTAATATAGTATTTAATAATAATTTATTTTTAAAAAAAACTAATATATCAAACATACTGTATATACAGCACATGTATGTTTGAGAAAAAATAATAAAAAGATAGCACATATACCTAAACCTAAATTTTTTACAAATAATAACAAACAAACAGTTTTGAAGCCAAGGTAAGGTAAATAACTACCAGTGCTTTACAAATTAGTAATAGGCATAGCCATAGCACATGTAGTCATTTAGTTAGTCAGTCAGTCAGTTAGTCTATAAAATATTCAATAGTAGTAGTAGTAGTAGTAGTAGTCATCGCCAGTAGGCATCACTCACATTGAGAGCTTATATACTGTATATTATACACTGTAGGTATAGCCTCATACCATACATACCTTAATAAATACCTGTACTGTATGTGTGTGTGTGTGCACTGTCTCACACATACCTGTGCTCTCTCTCTCTCTCTCTCTCTCTATCTCTCTCTCTCTCTCTCTCTCTCTCTCTCTCTCTCTCTCTCTCTCTCTCTCTCTCTCTCTCTCTCTCTCTCTCTCTCTCTCTCTCTCTCTCTCTCTCTCTCTCTCTCTCTCTCTCTCTCTCTCTCTCTCTCTCTCTCTCTCTCTCTCTCTCTCTCTCTCTCTCTCTCTCTCTCTCTCTCTCAGTGGGAATACAGAGGAAAAAATGTTAACTCTAGTAGTAGTAGTTTAATGGCTAAAAACTGTACTAATATTTTACAGTAAAACTATTTTTCTTTAAGCAAACTATGAGAGGATTTTTGTGTTGTTATTGTCTGCAAAAAAAAACTTTAAGTTAAAACTAATAACCAGTACTTAGGCTTTAGACTGACTCTCTCTCTCTCTCTCTCTCTCTCTCTCTCTCTCTCTCTCTCTCTCTCTCTCTCTCTCTTTCAGTCAATAAGTCAGTCACTAACTCACTCTCATTTAGATGACATCACTAGATCCCGGAGCCAATGATTACCGGCACTATCTCTCTCTCTCTCTCTCTCTCTCTCTCTCTCTCTYTCTCTCTCTCTTTCATTTAGTATCGTATGATATGTGTGTATGTGTTTCATATGTTTTTTTGAAAAAACCATTTATTTTTGAAAAACTAACTAAAAGTTTATAATAAATTATAATTTCATTTAATATTATTACTGTATATACACTGTATATGTGTATATAATTACAACATTATAAGTAAAAACTATTTGGTTTTTCACACACAGTATAGTAAAGTACAGTAAAGTTTTTAAATGTTTATTCAATACTATTTTGTTTTATTATTATTATTACTGTATATTAATTAAAACAAAACAAAATAGTTTAACAAATAATGTAAATTATAATCAAAATGTTTAATAATAATAATAATAATAAAATCTATTCAAATGTGATTCAACAAAAAAAATTTATTTATTCAGTAGTTATTATTAACTATTAAAACAATATATTAATACTACTATTAATAATAATAATAATAATAATAATGTCTATTTAAATATCATTAATAATAATAATGTTTTTATTTTAACTTTTTTTTAAAGTGAAATGATATTATAAATAATAAATTTTTTAAACAAATTGTTTTTTTTAAATATCATATATATTTTAATTTTTTAAATTTTCATAAAGTTTTTAACATAATAATAATAATAATGTCAACCAATAATTTATCAACGATTGTCAAACAATTGTTTTGTATAATATTTTTGGCCATCAATATCAATGAGATGATGTGCGGCTTGAATGGGACAACTGTTAGTACTATCATAGGTAGGGACAGGGATGTCGGTGTTGTTGGTGTATCTGATGACAATAGGACCTGTTTGATGGACTCTATATGCAAAAACAATGACAAATCCGGATCCAATCGCAACTCGCCCTGCCATCAGATACATGTGCCCTACGATAATGTTACCGACGATGACTTTTACGATCTATTGTGGACACACTGTCCCCACTTTTTCGATGATAAAGGTATGTCTATATGTGTTTTGTATGTGATGTGTATGTGTATATAAATAAATTTATATATATATATATATATATATGTGTGTGTGTGTGTGTGTGTGTGTGTGTGTGTTTGTAATATGTATTTATGTGTGTTTGTAATATGTATTTATGTGTGTTTGTAATATCTATTTATGTGTGTGTGTGTTTAGTATGTATGTTTGTAACATGTATGTATTTATGTGTGTGTGTGTGTGTGTGTGTGTGTGTGTGTGTGTGTGTGTGTGTGTGTGTGTGTGTGTGTGTGTGTGTGTGTGTGTGTGTGTGTGTGTGTGTGTGTGTGTGTGTGTGTGTGTGTGTGTGTGTGTGTGTGTGTGTGTGTGTGTGTGTGTGTGTGTGTGTGTGTGTGTGTGTGTGTGTGTAATATGTATGTATGTATGTATGTATGTATATATTTATGTATGTGTATGTTCATTAATTTGTGTTAATTTATATTTTTATGATAAATTAAAATTATTTATTTGATCAACAATTTATGTGATAAATATATTTTATATAATATATAAAATAGTAATAGAAATAAAAAAAGTAATTTTTTTTGATTATTTAAAATCTAATTTTATCTACAATTGTTTTTTTTTGATAGACAAAACATTTGACACATACATACAGTCACACAATATTTTTTAATTATTATTTTTAATTGTGTATTAAATAATGTTTTTTTTTTTAAAAAAGAGATTTTAAATTTCACTTAATTATTATATCCTAGAAATTGTTTTTTTTAAATAGTTATTTATAGTTAAATATTGTTGTCTTTATAATTACTGAGAGTATTATTTTTATCATTAAATTTTTTTTCAAAACAATATAATCGGTTATTTACTTTACCATTCAAAATGTTAACCAAATATAAATATATATATATATATAATTGTTATCTTATTTAATATAAATGTTTATACCGTTTAAACAGTTTTTTTTAAAAAAAAAGTTATGTTATTTTTAGTGATAAACACAAACAAAAAAAAACAAAACTTATTTCATAAGTTGTTTATCGATATATATATAATATAAATATAATATTAAACACATATTAAAACAAAATTTTTAAACATTAATACCAAGTATTTAACAAACAAACACAAAAAAAATATGATAAATAAATACTTGAATGACTTGTTTTGTACTGAAAACAGTTATACAATAATTTTATTTTTTTTTTTTTTAATTATTTGTATATCAATAGTATATACAGTATTAAAATAATTTATCAAAACATATGTACAGAAAAAACAATCAAAAAAAAACAACTTTCATATGACTTTTGCTTATATTTTATTTATAAAAAAATTATTATTATTATTATTATTATTATTATTATTATTATTATTATTATTATTATTATTATTGCATTCAATCTTTGATCGCAAATAAAATTTTTTAAACATAATGTATTTATTATATTATTTAGTTATCAACAAAAAAAAATAAACTACTTATTGATGATTATAATTAATAGTCGCCATAAATATTACAACAAAAAAATTAGTTTATTTTAGACAGTAATTCACTTAATAATAATAATATATACAGTAATATCTCTTATATATATATTTTTTGATTGTATATAAAAAAACTGTTTCAAGTATTTCCTCGATTAAAATCATTTTTTTTTTAATTTTATTATTTTATATTTTTATAAATATATATATATATTTATAAATCTATGCCTAACTTATTATTGAATGAGGAAAATTAATTTTTTTAAATATAAAAATATTATTTAATATATTTGAGAGAAATAAAAAACTATACAAAACTAGTATTTAATTTAGTATTTTATAATTTATTAAATATTATTTTTTTCTTTAATATAAATTTATTTAAATAAATAATTTATGTAAATCTGATGTTCAGCTATTGAAACAAAAAAAAACATCATTTTTTTGAAAAAAATAAATTATTTAATGTTATGTTATTTTTTTATTACGGAAACATAGATTTAAGTTTTATTTACTTAGATTTTTTTTATTAAAAAAAATGTTTTTAAAGTTGATTTATTTTTGTTAATTTACAAGCAATTAATCAATACTACTATTACTACTACTAGTATTTTAAAGATTACTATTTATTTAGATTTATTTTTGTTGATAAACAACAAAATAAAATAAAAAGTTTTTAAAACTTGAAAACATTATTAAATAAAATATTTTTGTCAAATTTATTTTAAATATTAATATAATTAATACAATATTTATTACAGTATATTATATATAGTTTATTTTTGATAGACATTATTAAAGTAGATTTTTTTTATTTAATATATTTTGATTTTTAATTTTTATTTAACCAGAAATAAATTATTAACAATAATAAAAACTATTATAAAAATACAGTACTTTTTGCAAATCATTTAATTTTATTTGATTTTATTGTTTTAAACAACAATTGTGTTAAATATCGTGTTATTTAATCGATAGTTATATAGTTTTTATTATTTAATTTAATATCATATAATTATTTGATACAATTATAATCACAATTTCTAGTAATAATAATAATAATACGGTTTAATAAAATTATTATTTTGCAATACTATTATAATTTATATATAATATATATATATACCAAATATATTCGTGTATTATTAATATTACATTTTATTATTTATTAGCATTTAATTAGCTATACTATTATACATTAATTTTTTTCAATTACAATTTGAAAGTGATTTTATTTGACTATAATATTTGATTACCAAAAACTGTTTCAAATCAGTTACAAACATATGACCTGAAAATTAAAGCATTTTTTCAAAAAAAATAAAAAATAATATTGTTTTTGACTACAGTATTATTATTATAATTATAATTAAAAAATAACTATTTGATATTTAATAGAAAAAAATAATTTATTTTATTTTTATATTTAGTTTTTATTATTATTGGCGTCATATATATATATGTTATACTGTTTATACATATTTGAAATAATAATAAATTATAAATAATTAAAACATTTTCGTGTTTATAAATTAAATACAATTATTATTTTTAAGGTATTTTATACACACAAAAAAAAATAATTAATTAATTAGTAAAATAACTCTTTGAATAACTATTTTTATTAATATTAATATTACATTTATATTTTAATTACAAAATTTTTTATATATAGTTTTTAATTACATTAAATGGGGTTTTAGTTTAATGTCAATAAATATGTGGAAATATTTTTATTTTTTATATAAAACCTAAAATAAAACATTTGTTATATATTTATTAATATATTTTTATATACACACCTGTTATTTGCCAAATATAAACATTAAAATTAATTAAATAATTAATGAAAAATAATTGACATTTAATTATTAGCAACAAAAATAAATTGCTGTAAAAAATTAATTCATTTAATTGCAACAAAAAAAATATTTGAACTTTAATTTCACTTTTATTTTTTTAAAAAAATGAAATCAAATACAATCGGAAACCATTGACTTATTTATTATTATTTTTTTAATATATATCTAAACAAAATGTGTGTCAATATGTCGATCAATAAATTAAAATATAAGGGAATACTTGTTTCAAAAAAAATTAAAAAAAAATAAAACAAATTATTCATAAATACCTTTAAATGTTTTTTTGTTCAAAAAAAATTTTGTTTTTATTACTAAACTAAATGTTGTTTTCATCACTCAATATAAGTAATAATAATAATAATAATAATAATAATAATAATTTTTAAATAATATCTATAATGTTGTTGTTGTTGTCATTAATGTATGATTTAAATCATTAATATTTACGATAATGGGATCCCATTTGAACTTTAAATTTTTATTTTTTTTTTAATTTTATTAATTTAATAATCAAAACAACACAAAAATTATTACTTTAATAATTTTAAATTATAAATGATGATCTATCAAATAATGACCTAGATAGTCAACAACAAAAAAATAAATTAATAGTTAGATAAAATATATTATCTATTTTTTTGGGGTATACCTGTAATTATATATATTATAGAAAACTAAAATATTTTTATTATTTTTTAAGATTATTATAATAAATGTCTATCAATTGATTATCATTTAAAATGTTAATGAATATTATAGTAATAATAATAATAATAATAATAATAATTGTTTATAAATTGTTAAATTAACCGTAAAATATATGCATAACTTTTATTTTTTATTTGGTTATCAATTTTGAATATCAAAATCAAAAGTTTTATAAATTTTTTTTGTTTATGAATATATTCATTAAATTATCATTATTTTTGGTTATATGTTATGTTTATCTAATGTTTTTACTTTTAAAATAAATAAAAAAAAATCTGAATTTTTTTCCTAATAACTATAAAATATTTATTTTAAAAAAATCATATTTAATTTATTAATTAAGTTTTATATCTATATAATAGTTGTTTAGTATAATTAATATATAATTTTATAAAAATCACATTTTATTTGAACTTTTGGTTGAATTATTAGTTAATGATTATTTTAAAAGGCATCAAAAATTATTATTATTATTATTATTATTAAATAATCTTAAGTATTACTGTATTATATAATATAAAATTTATTTTAAAAAACCTTCAAAACATTTATTGATATTATTTCTATTGACCTCTAATTATATAAGCATTTAATTTGATAGTAATTAAGATTATGAAAAATATTTTTATAATTATTTATGTTAATTATATTCAATATATATATAATGCATAACATTTTTTTAAAAAATCATTCAAAAGTTAACATAATTATAATAATTATGTTATTTGAAAATAAAACTAATTAAATAAATATTATCAATAAAATAAATTAGGGGTTAAGCGCCAAAATATTTATTAAATTTCTAGTGAAACTATTGCACCATAAATGTAGTTTATTTAAACAAAATTATAATTTATTATTAACTAAATAATAATTTAAAAAAATTAAAACAGTATATATTGAAAATTAAATATTGTATAATATAAAACAATAAATTAGATATAAATATTAATTATTAAATTAATAAACATTTTATAAAATTAATTATAAAACTCAATTAATTGTTAAAAAAAATTAATAATTAATAAATTTAAAACAAATAAATTAATTGAAATTAATACTAATTTAAAAATTACTGATATTATTAAATAAAATAAAAAAATATTAGTTAATTATTAATTATTTTTAAAATAAAATATTTATATTTAAAACAAAAATAATCAAAAAATAAATTCAAAGTTAAAAATATCTATTATTTATTATCAATAAAAATATTTTAATATATTTTTTATTACTAATTATTTTATTTATTTTTTTTAATATTTTTAATTTTTTAGGCGATCTCTTGCATCCGATCTGTTGTAGTGCAGAACAGGAGGACTCGATCTCACGGCTCATATCTCAAGTGGATATCATCCGCCGATCGTGTCCTTCGTGTACAACAAATGCTAAAAAATATTTTTGTAATTTATTTTGTTTACCGAAACAATCGGAGATTTTGAACATTGAAAAAACCATACATAAGGCTATACTGAATATATCGTACGTTATATCCAAACAATTTGCCGAAACATTTTACCAATCGTGTCGTGATGTCCGTATTTTCGGGGCCTACCTAATGGATCAGGAGTTTATATGCGGACCGTATAAACGATCAAATTGTACGGCCGAACGATTTCTGACAACTCTCGGATCGATTAGTCAAATGCCGCTTATTATACATCCGGTTATTACTGATTTGGTGGGCACTGGTAGTAGTGGTGAGGGTGATGGAGGAGGACTGGTATCACTGTTGGGACACCGATTCAGGCCAATGTCTGGCCAGGCCTACCAGTGCTACGAATCGCCGCCCAATGATAATGCCTGTTCATGTGATAACTGTGAACGTAGATGTAATGAAACATTATTAGCTAATTATCAAAATAATAATAATAATCATCAAAATGTAAAACTAAATGATGAAAATGCAGCCACACATGGATTAGGTGGTAATTTGGATCAATTTTTTATCTATAGAATTGTGGCCACCGTTTTGGTTATTAAATATATTTTTTAGTTTTTTAAAAGTTAATAGAGAGAATTAGTTTAAAAAAAAAATTAATTATGTTTTAACTTAGAAAATAAATTTGAAAAATAATTAATAATATTAGATGTAATAATAAAAATAATAATTTTTAAGCATTTATTACAATGTTATCAGTAATCATATGTTAATACATTATGTTAATAAAATTAAAGTTTAAAAGAAAAATAAATTTTATGTTAAATACTAAAGAATTATTTTTTTAAAAAAATCTAAATAATAAAAAATTCAATTTTGTATATCATTATAATTATCTGATTAAATATATTTATTTAAATAAAATATTGTGTAAAAATTATATTAAATAATAATTATAAATATATAATAGTATTATAATTATTAATACGTGTTTTAATTAAAAAACCCAAAAAATTATTTAAAATACTTGATAGATTTTTTAAATAAGGATTCTTGCTTAATTTTTTCATTGCTAAAAAAATAAATTATTAAAAATATGTTAATTATTGATAATAAAATAAAATAAAATCTTCAAATAATTATTAAAAAAAAAAACAATAATAATTACCGTATTTTAGTTTTGAAAAAGTTTGCATAAAATTCATGTATATCAAGATTTTCGACAATTTGTTGAAAATTATTGGTATTTTTTAACAAAAATCTGTTATCAAACATACATTGTTGACATAAATTGTTGATAATCTGTGTACTAGTGGGTCGATTGGTTGGCAATATATGTGTCATCGATATTAATAAATGAATTAATTTAGTCATATACTTACTAACTAATTGTTCTCTATAAATATTTACATCACTATTAATAATAATAAATAAAAAAAAATCAATAATTAGTAATCAAGTATAAAAATTTTCATTAATATAAAAATGATATTTACTTCAAATTAATATCAAATAATTCCAGTCCGATAATACCTAAGCTATAGATATCAAACTTTTCGTTATAATTTCGTCCATTTCTTTCAGGAGGTGTATAGTATTTAGTACCGGCTTTTGATGTATGACTGTCTGAATGTGTGTCCGTACGGTTGTGATCCGTTGCAAAACCAAAGTCACATAGTTTTATAAAACGATTATCTAATGGCTTATCATTGATGAGTATATTTCCGGGTTTGAGATCGCGATGAATAACTGGTGGTTGTCTTGTATGCAGATATTCAACGCATTCACACATCTCTAACATTATATGACTTGTAATGTAATACTCGATACAATCAATCGGTTCATTTGATTGTCTTTTAAATATTTCTGCTTTCAATTTAATCAAATCTTTAAGACTTTGTGAACATAACTCCATTTGAATGTAAAGATTATTATTTGATTCAATCCACGAGTGATAATGTTTGACAACAAATTCTGATTGAAGTTTTACCAGTTGTTTGATTTCATTTTCAAAACAATGTTTTTGATTATCATCTGAATTGTTAAAAAATAAAATACTTATTATTTTTATTAAAATAAATAAACAAAAAAAATATTACCATTTATATTGAGTTGTTTAATAGCACACAAATTATTTGTTATTTTATTTTTAACTTTAAATACTTGACCAAAACTTCCCGTTTCTAACATACTTATCGATAAAAACTTATCGTTTTTAAATGATTTACTATTTATTTCCATTAAATAATTATTATATAAATCTATATCAATTGTTTCATAAGTTTTATAATGTTTATCGGCAAAAATTTCAATAAATGATTTATAATAGCATTCTTCTAATTCAATTAAATTTGAATTATTTATTAATGTAATTTTATAATAACAATAGTTGTCATCAATTTTAATATACAGACCCCATATATCACTCACTGATTGAATATTTGGTATTTTTGTTGGCATTTCATTTCGTCCGCATTTAAATAAATATCCATCAGTTGTTAGAAAAAATGTAAAACTATCAAAATTACTAATAAATTTTATATTTTTCAAGTTATCAATGATTTCTGGTTTATAATAATATTTAATAATATTATGTCCCAATTTATTTTCTCTATTTCTACCCCAACTATAAACGAGTCCATCACTTGTTATTGCAAATGAACACCAATTGTATGAATAAATTGATTTAATGACAGTATTTGCGGGAAATATAACACGAGTCGGACTATCAATGCATAGAGCATATTGTCCGCAACCGCACTGTCCGTATGTGTTATTACCCCATCCATAGACAGTGCCCGCACTGGTCAATGCCAGTGAATAATGTGAATCACAAGTGATATCAATAATACATTTATCGCTTAGGTATGTAATGATAGCTGGTTTTTTGCCTTCATCATCATTGATGGTATGTCTACCCAATTGTTTGTATTTATTCCAACCCCAGCTATATATTTGTTGATCAAGTGTTATACACAATGCAAATCCAATTCCAATAATAAATTTTTGAACCTTTTTGTCACATAATTCAGGTATAATTTGTGGTTCATTGACTTCACTGTTGTTGTGACCCAAACCAAGTATACCCGACATGTTATAACCCAATGTATAGACGCGATCATCATTTGTTACAAACCATACACTTTCTTCATAACAATGAAATAATTTTATTTCAGTTTTCAAATTTTCTGGTATTTTAGTACACAATGAAAATTTATTTAACAAATCAATTGCAGTCATTTTTTATATGCAAATATAATATAATATAAATATTGCTTTTTATTATTAATTAATTACATGATTTAACAATTTAACTAAATAAATGTTTTTTTTCTAAATTATAAAATGGCGATTCATATCATAACAAAAAACAATAAAAAATTAATTAATCTATTATTATAATGATATTAACCATAGAAATTATAATATTATATTCAATACATAGTTACAAGTATTGAGTATTACTAATTAGTATTAATGAAATATATACTTTTTAAAAAAATGTTTTATTAGATAATTTATATAGTTAAACTTAAAAAAATAAAAGTTATAATAGCATTATTAATAAATAATTTGACAATAATTTGATTGTTATAATTAAGTTATTTAAAAAAATAATTATTATTATTAATAATAAAAATTATTAATAAAAATGTTGATTTTATTTTATATTTAATTTAGTTTTTTTTGCTAAATAATTCTCTATTTAAATATTAGTATCAGTTATATATCAAAAATAATTATTAATTTTAAAAAATTTAAATCTGAAGTCAATTTATAATAATAATAATAATTTTATTATTAATTTTTATTTAAATTAAATTTATTCATTTATATTAATAGTAAGTGTTAAAAATTACAATTACAATAATAATAAAATAGTTATTTAATTAATAATTAATAATTATAAAATAAAATAAGTCAATATCTAAAAAACAAAAAATTAATTTAAATCATTGATTTTAGTTATCAATATCTGTCTAAATATATTATTATCTTTTGAATCAATTCGGGTCAAAAAATTTGCAATTAAATGATTTTTAATTAAATCATTATTAATATATTGTTGTTTATTATTGATAATATCAGTACAATCGGGTCTATCATAATATGTCAATTGTATCATTGATACAATTAATTTTGATAGTTTAGTAATATATAACTTTAAGTTAATATGCAGATACATGTTTTCAAATTTTCTAAAATTAAAAACACAAAAAAAATAATAATTAATTAGTTAAATAGTAATTCAAAACTAAAAATTTTTACCTAAAATCTAAATCCCTGTTGACATCAAATAAGTCCAATAGTATACAACCCATACTATAGATATCACTTTTCTCATTATATGCCACTCTATCCGAACCATAGTTATCGCATACCTCGGGTGCCATATATTTATCTGTACCAACATTTTTTTGTATGTAGTATTGATTCAGTGCCCATACGTAAGTGATCAGTGGCTAAACCAAAGTCACATAATTTTAAAAACCTATTATCTAATGGCTTATCATTGATGAGTATATTTCCGGGTTTAAGATCGCGATGAATAACCGGCGGTTGTCTTGTATGCAGATATTCAACGCATTCACACATCTCTAACATTAAATGACTTGAAATGTAATACTCAATGAAATCCATTGATTCATTGGATTTCCGATGAAATGTTTGTGGTTTCAATTCAATCAAATCTTTAAGACTTTTCGATAATAACTCCATTTGAATGTAAAGTATTTTTGACGATTCAATCCACGCGTCATAACATTTGACTACAAATTTTGACCGAAGTTTCAACAGTTGTTTGACTTCTTTTAAAATATTATCTTTAAGTTTTATATCTGTATAAAAATAAAAAAAAAATTAAAATATTTATTTAAAAACTAATACATTTTACCCGTTATTATAATATCTTTGATGGCAAACAATTCTTCTGTTTTATTGTCCAAACATTTATAAACTCTACCGAAACTTCCCGAACCTAACACTTCTTTTGGTTTAAAATTTGTTAAATATTTTTCGGGTTTATCCGTGATTTCCCTAAAATTTGTTAAATATTTTTCAATATCTATTGTTTCGTATGTTTGAAAATATCGATCGGCATAAAAATCAATGAATGATTTTTGCTGATCGATTAGTTTACATATAATAATATTAGTTTTGTTTTCATAGATAAGTTCATATAAATTCAAATCTGATTTTCTAATATAATGATTGTATAAATCAATTACTGAATCTAAACTATTGATTAGTGTTGGCTTATTATAGACAAAATCTTTTAGTGATCCAAATTGATAAACTAATCCATCGTTTGTCAGAAAATAAATTACTGATAATTTGAAAAATAAGCTATAATTAAACGATAGTTTTCGTATATTTTTCAATTTATTGGCTAAAAATTGTGGTTTACTAACAACTAAATGATTGTCAGTCCACCAGTGATAACCCCAACTGTAAACCAAACCATTCATATCTATAGCAAATAAAGTATTTTTTGTACAATATATTGACTAAATGGTAATATTTGTGGGAAATATTAGACGAGTCGGACTATCTATACAATCGGTTTGTTGTCCGCAACCGCACTGTCCGTACGTATTATTACCCCAACCATAGACAATGCCCGCACTGGTCAGTGCCAGCGTATGTTGTGAACCACTGATGATATCTGTTATACATTTATCGCTCAAGTATTTAATGATCGATGGTTTACTATACTGATCATCAACACTGGTAGGTCTACCCAATAATCCCTGTCCATTGAACCCCCAGCTATATATTTGTTGATCACCGGTCAGACAAAATGAAACCATTTTTCCGATTAGAAATTTTTGGACATTTTTCATACATAATTCCCGTATTAGTTCCGGTTTACTGATACTAGTTTGAGGTCCCAAACCAAGTATTGCCCATTTATTATTACCCAATGTATAGACCAGATCATCATTAGCTATCACAAACCAAACAGCATTTTTACTGCAATGAAATAATTTTATTGAATATTTAATATCTACGGGTATTTTATGACACAATGAAAACTTGTTTAATAAATCCAATTAAGACATGATTTGATTAAATTGTTATAAAATAAATTATTTTTTTAAAATATATAAAATATTTTTTTTAATAAATAAATAAAATGTCTGTCTGTATTTGTAAACAAAATATAAACAATAATAATAAATAACTATTTTATAATTATTGTTATTAAATACTACTATTAATGCAGATATTTACCATGGTTATTTTTTTTATCTATTACTTTAAGTGTATATATAATATAACTGTTTAACTTTAATAATCACATAATCAATTAAATCATTATTAACTATTAATTTTAAGTTTAAACAAATAAAAAAAATATTATTATAAAATAAATTTTATAAATATATTATTAATTGAGAATAAAATTTTCATATATTTTAACTTTATATCTTTAATAATTATATATAAATTTAGATGACGTAAAAAATCAAATTTTTTTATTAATTTTAACATAATTTAATCGAAAATAACAATTTTGTTATTAAAGATATCAATAACTATAGTAAATATCTATAAACAAAAATATACTGATTATAATATAGTTATTAACTGAAAATTAATTTAATTTTTACAGACATTTTAATAATTTTTTGTTTATTTAAAAAAACTATTGTTATGTCTGCTATAGTTTTGTAAAATAAATTTTCACTGTGTATTAAAAATATACCACAAAATCTAAAAATTAATATAAAATATATTTTTAGTTTTTTTTGGGCAACATTGTAATTATTTATAATTTTTTAAAATTGAAATTGTAAACTTTTTGTACCTAGTGAATTATATTTCCTGACTAATGTAATTTTAATCAACAAAAAAAATCATACTACTAAAGTTAATTAATATGACATTTGATGAGTCATTTGATACCCTACATGACAAAAGTTGAGTTTTGTCATACTGAATCATTAAAAAATGTTTCAAATTAAGATGAGTTAAAAATGATTCAGTACATACATGCAGAGCAATTGCAGACCTAATCCAATCATAGTTTAATTAGTGCTAAATATGTAAGGGTCAGTTTGTGAATTTTTATTTTGAAAAAATATATTATTGTGACCTAAGTTTAAAATTATATTTTAAGTGACATTTATAACATTAGTCTATAAAATAGTTTTGTTAACATAACAATATAAATTTTTAAATTAAACTATGATTGGATTACCTAATTTTTTTTACTTTGGTCGCCATTTTCTTTATTTTCCCGATGAGATATCAAAATTTTAATGTATATTTTTTATTCTTATTTTTTATGCTTTATTCAAATCTATACTCTAAATTTTTCTTAAATTATTTTTTCAACTTTGGCCGTTATTTTGTCTGTGTTCGCGAAGAGATATCAAAATTTTAATTAAACTTTTCAATACATTATTAGTAGTCCTCTAACCGAATCTGAAGTCAGAATTTCAAAATTCGCAAAATGAAATGCTACACAAACATATAGATTTTTTTTTGAAAATTAACAAATTATTGATAAAAATAACTATTAAATTATAATTATTATTTACTGTTGTTTTAATGCTATTATAACTTTTTTGTTTATCTATAAAACTTATCTAATAAAATATTTTCATAAAAGTATATAACATTAATACTTATTACTTATATGTTATAAATGTATAAATAATATTATAATTTCTATGGTTAATATCATATAATAATAAATAAATTATTTTTTTTCTATTTTATTATAAGTTATTAATCGCCATTTTATTATGTATTATTAATTTTGTTTAATTTTTCAATCATGTAACTATAATTAATATAATTTTTATATAATCTATAATAAGTATTTTTTATTTACAAATAATAATGGCTGCAATTGATTTATTAGATAAATTTTCATTGTGTACTAAAAAATACCAGAAAATTTATTATTAATTTAGTTAACTATTTTAAATCATGTAATTATAATTAATGTAATTTTTATATAAATTATAATAGTTATTTTTTTATCAATATAAAAAAATGGCTGCAATTGAATTATTAGATAAATTTTCATTGTGTACTAAAATACAAGAAAATTTAAAAAATGAAATAAAAATATTTCATTGTAACGGAAAAAGTGTATGGTTTGTGACAAATGATGATCGCGTCTATACATTAGGTGATAACCAGTGGGGTATACTTGGTTTGGGTCACAACAGGGATATCAATGAACCACAAATTATTATAGAATTGTGTCAGAAAAAAGTTAACAAATTTATTATCGGAATTTGTTTTGTATTGTGTATAACAAGTGACCAACAAATCTATAGCTGGGGTTGGAATAAATACAAACAATTGGGTAGACATACCAGTGATGTGTTTAACAACAAACCCGATATGATTACATTACTGAGCGATAAATATATAATTGATGTCACTTGCGGTTGGTATCATTCACTGGCACTGACCAGTGCGGGCACTGTCTATGGATGGGGTGATAACAGATACGGTCAGTGCGGTTGCGGACAACAAACTCTATACATTGATAGACCGACTCGTGTTATATTTCCCACAAATATTGTCATTAAATCAATTTATTCATACAATTGTTGTTCATTTGCAATAACAAGTGATGGATTTGTTTATAGTTGGGGTGATAATGAAGACAATAAATTGGGACATAATATTATTAAATATTATTATAAACCAGAAATAATTGATAACTTGAAAAATATAAAATCTATTAGTTTTTTTAATTATTTTGTATTTTTTCTAACAACTGAAGGATATTTATTTAAATGTGGAGGAAATGAAATGCCAACAAAAATACTAAATATTTCATCAGTCAGTGATATGTGCGGTCCGTATATTAAAATTGATGACAACTATTGTTATTATGAAATTACTTTTGAATATAATTCAAATTTAATTGAATTAGAAGAATGTCTTTACAAAACATTCATTGAAATATTTGCCGATAAACAGCATATAACTTATGAAACAATTGATATGGATTTATATAAAACCAATTTAATTGTAATTAATAGTAAAAATAAAACATTTCTAAACAGTTTTTCTATGATAAGTATGTTAGAAACGGGAAGTTTTGGTCAAGTATTTAAAGCTATTGATAATAATTTTAATAATGAATGGTTTGCTATTAAACAAATCAATATAAATGGTAATATTTTTTTATTTTATTTTTGTTTTTAGTGAAGTTGATTAAAATAATAATATTTTTTTTAACAATTTAGATGAAAATCAAAAACATTATTTTGAATATGAAATTTGTGGTTAAATGTTATTATTCATGGATTGAATCAAATAATAATAATTTTTACATTCAAATGGAGTTATGTTCACAAAGTCTAAAACATTTAATTAAATTGAAGGCAAAGACATTTCACAGACAAACCAATCAACCGATTGATTGCATAGAGTATTACATTACAAATCATATAATGTTAGAGATGTGTGAATGCGTTGAATATCTGCATACAAGACAACCACCAGTTATTCATCGCGATCTCAAACCGGCAAATCTACTCATCAATGATAAACCATTAGACAATCGTTTCCTTAAATTATGTGACTTTGGTTTTGCAACGGATCACAACCGTACGGAAATCCGATCAGATAGTCATACATCACAAATGGGTACAAAATATTATGCACCCCATGAACGAAATGGTCGTTCATATAATGAAAAATTTGATATCTATAGCTTAGGTATTATCGGACTGGAGTTGTTTGATATTAATTTAAAGTAAATAATATTTTTTTTTATTTGTAATAATGAAAATTTTATATACTTGAATATTAATTATTGAATTTATTTATTAATTATTATTGTTAATAGTGATCTAAATATTTATACAAAACAATCAGTTAGTAATTATATGACCAAATTAGTTGATTTATTAATATCGATGACACATATAGTGCCGGCTAATCGACCCACTAGTACACAGATTATCAACAGTTTATGTCAACAATGTATGTTTGATAACAGATTTTTGTTAAAAAATACTAGAAATTATCAGAAAATTGTCGAAAATCTTAGTAAACATGAATTCTATGCAAACTTTTTCAATACAAAATTAAGGTATTTATTCATTTATTTTCATTTATTTAATAATATTTTTAATTATTTTTAATTTCTTTAAGCATTGAAAAATCTAAACAAGTTTCTGTATTTAAAAGATTCAATTTCTTCAAATAATAATAATATTAATAACATTAAAATTGATAAATCATTATACAATTATTTATAATATATTCATTTAAAATAATATTTTCGATTTATTTATATTTAATTAATTTTTTTCTATTTTGCTATAATAATAATGTTATAATAATATAATATTTTTAAATTGTATAAATTATTATTATCATTATTATTAAAAAAATATGGGAAAAAATAAAAAAAAATTGTATTGCGCTTATATATATATACTTTTATTATATTAATATTATATAATCTTTATTATTTGTATTATTAATATATTAATATATATATATATATAGATATATATAATATATTGCTATATTATCTATAATATATTTATTATTTATTTATTACTATTACTTTATTTGATGAATAATAGTGAAATAATTTTCAAAAATATTTAATATTAAACTGTAACTATGATATTAACAAATTATTAACAGCGTATTTTTATATATTTTGTTTATATATAATATAAAAGTTACCTATATGTAAAATAAAAATAAAGATAATAACTTATTCTAGCATTGTTTGTATAAAAATATATATAATTAATAATAATTTTAATAATGTTAATCATTAATAAATAATATGAAAACTTTTATCTAAAGAAAA